ATATTAGTAGTTGAAGGTGGCACGAAAAAAAAAAAAAAAAATCACGAATCACAGAGATGTGAATGGAGCCTATGTGAATTTTGCAGAAACTAAATCAATTTTCTCATTGCTCTCGACCCCTCCGCTGTGGGGCATAAAGGAACAGTATTTCAACTCCCCCCTCCACTCACCCCCCCCGCTCCTTTCAGGGGGCTCATAGGGAATTTGAATTTAGAGAGGGAGAGTCTAAAGGCAAACAGTTTCTGCTGTGATCTCTTTAGACAACTCATAGTGCTCTGAGAAAAGCAGATGCATCAAATTTGTACTGCTGGCCCACACACAAGCCCCTCACTAATTCCTTTGGTCCCTTGGCCAATTTTAAGAAATACGATGTAATGAAGCCCCAGTCTGTTTTGTAGTTCATGACCTCTACACTTCCTTACAGAATTTGAATACTTAATAAAAGCTTTTTGTCTGGCTCCTTTCTAAGTAATAAAATGTTAAAAGTGGTAGTTATGGTTATTATAATAATCACTGAAGTACTATAATACTTTTTTTTATAATGAAGTAGGTGTGGCCCTTTGCAGACCTAGCGTGGAACATTGCAGATTCTTTTTACCTAGTTTTACCCTCTGTTTTATTTGAGTTTGTCTTTAAAGTTATCTGTAGGCAGAAAATACCAAAGTGGCACTTGTATGGTAGGTGCCTACAGGGGCATACCCATCCTCCCTGCTTTCTTTTAGAATGCCCCATTGAATCCTGAAATGTAAATAGTGACCAAGCTAATATGGTTGTGGATGTCACACCACTTTTTGCACCGCACTACTAGTCAGTGAGTACTCCCATAACAGGTAGTGGCCATTAGTGAGGCACTTGAAGTTGGAGGTGGTCGACCATAGGCCATAATCATAGTAATGTTGTTGCTATTTGCATACCAGGGCACCCAAGATTTTTGTAGCTCCTAGAGTGCTCTAAAGTATGGGGGGAAGGGGGGGGGGTTCATGTACAAATATCGAGATGTGCCTGCTATGCAATGTACAAACTGCTCAACTATTTTGTGCCTACAGGTTTGCCTAAAAGTATATATCTGTGCAAACCCCTTTTTAAATAGAATGGAAAGGTTAGGCTCTCTGTCAATTTTTTATTGCTGTCAGTGCCCCCATTGGGTAAATAATCACCCTTGTATTTGTCCTGGTGACTATTGTCACCGAGAAAGAATCTGTAAACAAAACTGTAGAGCGGTCACCAGCACAAGAGGTGAGGGTAAATCTTCCAGTGAGGAGACCTGTTCCGGTGACAACTACTGTCTATGAGGGCAATTCCTCTCACTTTGGGAGATTTCTTTGAACTTCCTTTAACCCTTCCTACGCTATCCAGGGCATGTTGACAAGAAAGATTTCAAATTAAACTTTTTTATCCAGCTTTATTTTCTTAGCTGACTCTGGCTGGTTTCCATTTTATTATCTTAAAGTGACACTAAACTCAAGAGTTAAACCTTAAAAATGCAGGCAAGTACCCTCACAATTAACCAAAATGTAGCTTATTTGTGTATTAGACGGGTGCAGATCCTCAAATCATCTCTAAATTCATGCTGACACTGTCCTTCCATCTGGAGGGCGGCTACTTTTGTTCCCCATGGCCCCTGTGTGTGTTTTAAAGTAGCCACCACTCCAAGCTCACTCCTACAATCTCACGTTTAGTTTGTATTGAAATTGTATCTATCATGGAAGCGAGCTTTACAACACACACACAGGGACCATGGTGAATTAAAGTTGCCACCCTCCAAAAGGTAGGACAGAGATGATTTGAGGATCTACAGCTGAACGATACACAAATAAGATACATTTTTGTTAATAGTTAAAGTGACATTAAAGTAAATTTTTTCCCCTCCCCCCAATGTTAATGAAAGCACTTGCCTTAAATGATGTCTCTTAATCCAATCTTCTTCTTCTTTCCTGTTGTTTTCATCTGTCCCTCCAGCACTGCGGCGGGTAACCGATCCAGTGCTGACTCCTCTGAGCTTGCTGGCACTTCCTGTCCCATGGTGTCTGAATGCGAGTGCACGCGTTCATAGACTTACCTTGTGTCTTTCCTCGCGTCCCGGCCGAAAAGGTGAACTGTGCATGGGGCCACCCCAAGATGCTTTGCGGCCGCCCGAGGATCTTCACATTTTCAGACGGGAGCGTGCGGCGAAGACACAGGTGAGTATTAACCCGTTAAAGCGTTTTTTTTTTTTTTTTTTTTTTTACACTACTTGCATAGATCTACTGCTTGCTAGCAGTAGATCTATGGAAAAAATGGAGGCTTTAATGATCCTTTAAGGTACTTGAATGCATTTTAAGGTTTAAAGTGGTATTAAAGTCTCCATTTTTTTTACATATATCTACTGCTAGCAAGCGGTAGATATATGCCCCAACATTTAAAAAAACGAAAAAAGTGGCTAAATATGTAATAATTTACCTGTGCCTGCGCCGCTTGCTCACGGCTGAGCTTCCCGAACAGCCGCGCAGGAGGATGATGTGTGTGGGCGCATGCGCATTTGATATCACCGGAGGGGAAAGGAGGAGTGACACAATGTAAATGAATGCACGCAGCCGGGAGCATGCATGCAGGACAGATTCAGTGGGACACAGGAAAAAGCGCTGGATCAGAGAGCGGCACCACCACTGAGGGGACTGTTGAAAACGAGTGGAAGGAAGTACTTACAGCAGCATTAGGGGGGACAAAAAAAATTAGACATTAATGTCACTTTAAGACAAATTGAAACATTTTCTGGCTCAGTTGGACAGTGAAGCCAGCAGGAAGGTCACTGGTGGCAGTTAAAACTACATTTGGTGGCTCAGTTTGTACTGGTGCTGGGATTTCAGAACTTTGTGGTATTGGAATAGAACCTACATGCTTTTGGTGCTCTGGAGCAGGATGAGTTTGGTATGCAGCAGAATAGGGATTATAAGGGTTTAGATTAGTCAATAGGTTAGGTTACTGTTAGGCCTAGTGTTCAGGGTTTCCATGTTTGAGGGAGGTGAAGAGTTATACGTTCTTGACAGTTAAAGAACAAGTTCATAAAATTTCAATAATGCCCCAGCCTCTCTCCCTGTTCCCCTAAAATCCCCCTAAATGTGTTAAACTGAGCTCCCTCCTCAACCCCCGCATGTGCACTTACCTTCCTATGGCTATGACCTATGGCTTCTTCTAAGGCTATGACCTCCAGTGCTGCACCTGTACTGCAGGAGCAACATCTTATTCAACTGTATGGGATGTTAGTGCACAGCTCATCACTAGAGAAGCATCAACATTCGCCAACAAGCCCATAACCTTGAATAATTTCAGCTCTGATTTTGTTTAAGATTACCAATTGAATAATCACCTTGAGGCATTTATTTGCTAGAAGAAGCCTCCCTATTCTAAAAATATTTGTATTGTGTAAAGCATGTGCTTGTATGGTAGATGTAGATATATTGAAATATTTGGCCTCATTTACATCAATATGTCCCTAATAAAATATCTGCAAAAATGCAAATGCACACTAAAATTACTACCTGTCATATGTATCCTATCCCAATCAATCTCACAATAATAATAAAATGATATACATTCAATTATTAAAAAATGCATATAAATATACAATTATGCCAAATAGCCAAACTAAAAAGAAGACGTATATTTGTTTTTACCTTATAGTTGGAACTGCTTCAAGTTGTACACTGTTACCTATCCAGCATAACTCTGTAGATGTATTTGGGAACTGGTGACAGATCCAAGTATGAAGCCTTGACTGACTCAAACCTTTGTCTTCATAGGTGTCCTCCTCTCAATCAGTAGCAAATTAATAATAAACGTTAGTGAGCGCTGAGCATCATTTAAGGGAGCCAAAACACACCCTGTTTAACCAGAAACTCTAGTATTGATGGGATCAGATCTAGAACATCTTGATTATGTTCCTTGCTTATTTCCCTCCCTATGTGGTTTTGGCATGTATCATGTGACTTTTGTTCGTAAACCTATGAATTTATTCAATAATAATGCCATTATGGAAAAACAGCCTACTTACTTTTTTATGCACTTAGGCAAAGATTTAATACAAAAACAATTATATTTTGTCTGTAGGCTGTAAAAGGTTTATCGGAAGATACGGTAATTTAAATTTTGCTATCACCACTCCTTTATAACAGTGGAAATATTGGCAACCAGAAAAATGACATATATGATTAATGATGGGGACTAACCTAGATCTCTACGCAGACAAAAACGTAAAAAAATCTAAAAAAAAAGAAAAAATTATAAAAAAGGTCAAACTGGATGGACCACTTGAAAAGCACTAAGGTGTATGTATATCCATTTGTTTTAGTTTTGGATAGAGTAGGAAACGGTTAAAACCCTTGCCAGGTTATTTCTTGCTGTCTGTGTACCATAATTTCCCTTAAGTTCATGCCACAGAGATACAACAGGAAGCTAGAGGAAATCTCCCAAAGTAAGAGGATTTTCCCCTCTTACATAGATGTTGCCACAATAGTCACCAGAACAAACAGAGGAGAAAATCACCCCAGTAGGGACACAGACACAAAAAATGTTAGAAAAGGTCTATCCCTTCCCCCGTTCTAACCAATACTAAAATACGTTTTGCCTAAAGGTACACTTTAAAGCTGCCCATACACCTTACGAATATCGGCCAATTTTTGTATGCGATCGCGTTTTTGTCCGCTATTCGTAAGGTTGATGGGCAGTGTACAACCGCAAATACTATACAATCGATCGACTTTTGGCTAACCAGCAGGTTAGAAAACCTTGACCGATCATACGACTTTCGCAAGGTTGGTGGCGTTTCCGTACGTCAAAATTCGTAGCCCCACTGCAAGGGTCAATGAAAATTTTGGCTGGACTTTTGCTTTAAAGCAGAATTGAATCCAAAATGTTTTTTTTTAGTTTTGGATAGAGTAAGGGAGGGTCAGCTTTGCCATCTGTATCCCATTGACATTTTTAATTTTGTTCACTAAGCTCCTTAGATAAAAATTTGCTTGAAAAATACAATTTACTCTTTTTAAAAAAAATTGAATTAGAGGGCTGGGTGTATTTAGGGTAGCTTAGTTTATTTATGTTACTGTTTTCCAAAGACAGCCGCACTGAGTCGCTAAGCGTGTGTAAAATAAATCTTTAATTTTGCCCATCCAACATATCAAATGGTCTACACCTACAATGGTTCCCCCATAGCTCCGGCGCTAACGCATTTCACCACATGGGCTTAATCATAGAGGACCTGTAAAGGCTTTTAAAGCATCACCTATAGACAGTTTTGGTTACGTTAACTTTCTGCCATTTTAAGGCTGCACACAATTTTGAATCTTTTATATTTTACCCCAAAATGGGTATTATATTGTGTTTTGTGCACCAAAATATACTGAAAATGTGGGCTTGATAAACGCTTGCGCTAATATTGTGTGACATAAAAAAACTGCAACTGCCACCATCTACAGGATCTTTTCAGGACCACAAATTGTGCATTTTAACAAATTTTATAAAATAAATGAAATTAACAAAATGTAAATTTAACAATTACACATTTTACAATATTTATCCCTGAGAATTATTCAGTTGCTCAGTTATCCCTTGACACTTGTTCAGTTCAGAAGAACTACAGGCAATCTTAAATGTAACCCTTGCAGTGGGGCTACCTCTGCAACGCAAGTGTTAACTGCCCATTTTTGTCTAGGGGCTGGACTAAAGAAGATATACTCACCTGATCCTTGATCCCTCTTGTCTGGGTCGGATTTCCCATAAGACCAACCAAGGCCGGGCCTTGGGGCAGCAGGGGGTAGAGGGGCAGCAGGAGTGTGGAATTCCTATCTCCCGATGCCCGGGACATGCAGTTCTGGGCACCGGGCGGGTAGTTGTTTCTACATTTAGGCTTTGGGCAAGCCAAGCTAAATGTACAGCGGGGAAGCAGCCGCTTGTTTTGTACAAGATGTCACCGAGATCACTTGTATGCAGCCTGCAGGTCTGCCATTCTTCTTGGGGGGGTTGGCAGGTAGGGGGGTGCATTGAGGAATCTGGCCTTGGGGCAGCAGAGAGTGTAAATCCGGCCCTGTCTGGGGGTCTAAGGACCCATGACATCCTCATGTCTAATGCAGTTGCATTAGATGTGAAGACGCCAATGGACATACCACCAGAGTGGAGGGGGAAAGAGGTGAGCGGTAACCTCCGCAGGAGGAGTATATTTTCTTTATTTTAGCTCCTAGACCAAAACAAGCAGTTAACCCTTGCAGTGCAGAGGTAGATTGCCTGGAGTTCTTCTTTAATTTCTAAATGGAGTACCATAAAAAAAGAATACGAGGGCTGAATGCAAACTTAAAAACAACAGTTTGACCATCTGTCCTGGTGAGTGTCCTTGAGTATATGCTAGTGAGATTTGATTTTAAGTTGCTTCTAAAACAAAGATTGATATGAATGGTGCAATGATCTTTGTAAGGTGATACAGAATATGTTGGTGCAATATAAGTTACGCAAGTTCAGCAAATATTATTGTCTCAAAAGAGCTGCTGGCCCATCCTATAATTCAGTTGTTGCGAATTGTCTGGTTGTGATATTTTTTCAAATGCTTTGATCTATCTAGTTTAAATCCCTTTTTGTTTTTGTTGCTTAATATGTTATGATTAATATAGTACATATACCCTGTTCTTTCATAAATAATTCCAATCTAGATAATAGAAAATAGTCCACCCAAAACTTTTGAAACTAGGTTTAATGCTGTTCTGTTGAATCATCTGCTGGCTCTTCATATTTTACTGAGATTTTGGTGTTGGAATTTCCCAAGTGCATCCATGGGCTATGGGTGTTATAGAGGAGGCTCAATCGTAGTATTATTTTCTTTATATAATTGTATAGCTGGGGACTCTTTGGACCTGTACCAGAGACAGGGGTAATCAATTTGCCCGCTGGGAGCTTCTTCTAGTTCCTTCACTGTAGGATGATTGGATTAGTGATAGCAGTATCACTTCTCCTGCATCTCCATATGATGAGGTTGTCGTATATTGTCAAAAAGGCCAGTTTGTTGCTTGTGTATTGTCACGGTTGCCTGTTTGTTGTCCAGATTGTCACAATTGCTCATTTGTTGCCCAAGTATTCTCACAATTGCCCATTTGTTGCCCACATATTCTAACAATTGCTCATTTGTAGTCCAGTTATTGCCAAGAACTTCCTCTTATTTTGTTACCTTCATCATTTCAAGTTAGCGCTTTTCGCTCCACATTTGGCCATGGCGCACTATGTGTTCCACTTTTAAACCAGTGCTTCGACTTCAGTTAGATAATGATGGTAAGCCAGGTATCATAAGGAATTTCCCCTTATTTTTGTGCCTCCTTATTGTCAAGTTATCACCGTGAGTTTAGAGGACCAAATAGTGTTTTAAAAACCAAAACTATAAATGTAATATATTGCAGATTACTAATCCTTAAATTTGGTGGCTGTATTAGGTTTCTTTTGGCTTTTTTCTCCTTTATTTTTACCTGGTGATTCAGCCAGTAACATATCTCTTGTCCTAGGGTGGCTCCACTCTATGGAGGAGCAATGTAGCCACCCTTGGACAGCAGCATTGTCACCCTGTTGTGAGGGTAGTGTTAAGTGATCTGGCAGATTTAGATGATCTAACAAATTAAAGATGAACTCCAGTTACCACTTTTTAGTCAGTTACGGCAACAATTTATTTCTTTTTCAGGATAAATGATCAAAATTAATAAAAGGTGATCATTGTAAGCACCCCTGTCAGTGTTAAAAAAAACATCTATCTGCCACTTTTGTTGGACAGCTTGGTCTGGTAACAGAAGATGTAAAATAACAGATTTACTGGCCAGATCAACAGGTGAAAATAAAGGAGAAAGGGCTAAAAAATGAAAATAAATGCAGTCACCACATTTAAGATGAGTAAACTGCAATATAATATTTTTTTCTTTTTGGTTTAGATACACTTTAATCCCCTACAGACCTGCCACTATCAAACCACAGCACTCTTAGCGCCACACTTGGTCACGGCACTATGGGTGCTGCTTTAAAACCATTGCTTCTGTTTTGACCACATCATTCTTTTTAAGCCAACAGTATAGTGTATGGAACAATTTCTTAATTTTAAAATGATCTTTTGATTTCAGCTTGCTTTTTCCAATAAACTTTCCTTACAAAAAAGTGATAGGGTTGACAAAGGTAATTTTACCGCTTGTGTTGCAAATGCTGATGAAAACTGGTGCATGTGTGCCAGGTTGCCAATGCTTCATAAAAATTACAGCTAGCGTTTAACTTTTGAGGTTTTCTCTTGTTGTTGTCAATGGAGCTAGCTCCTAAAAAAATCCTGCAGGCTCCTGGATTGGACAGACTGTGTCCTGCATTCCATAATCATTTGCCCACCCTTGACGTTTGTTCAGAATTAGGTATGTGAACACATACCTAGAATTGAACTTCCAAATATACAGGATCAGCACATATGTGTCATCATCAAGTTCATCCAAAGGGCATTTAGTAATTGTACCCTGATTAATCCATCAGAGAAACATTTCACAAATATCAACCCTATTAAATTTAACATGCGCTACTGCATGACTATTTCACATATCTCCTGGTCAAAGGAATTTTGCCGAGCTAGTTTTCTACATATCATGCTGTGTTACAATGGGCAGGGCTTGAGATTATGATAGCCTGTCATACAAACATGGCTTACTTGTTTTCTGATTACCTTAAAGTTCCTTATACATTGTAGTGATTATGCTGTAGGTTAAGTCTAGTACTCACCTCCTATCTTCGTGTAGCATATCCGTTACCAATGAATCACGGAGGTTCTTTTGTGCCCCTT